GTGCAATCAAATCATATTGCAGGCCCTGGAAAAGTTTGGGAAAAGTCATGGAAATGTAACTAAAGTTGCATCAAATATAATTTATATTTGATCTAATCGCCGAAATAGTAATACTATAATAATAACTACTGTATCGTATAGTAATGAAACGTAAAATGGCATTTAACTGACGAGGTATTTTGCCGGTGAGAGATTTGAGTTGCTTTAGCGTGTAGAAGCTAGTAAGCCTACTATTTGATTTGTTTTAGATAGGACCAACATGTTTCATATGCAGACCTTGTTTTCCTGTTCCATGTTAAAATAAACCATTTTATGTGGTACTGCTGAGTAAGAGTATTTTTTTTGGGTCATGGAAAATTAGGTAAAGGTCATGGAAAAGTCATTGAAAAACATTGGTGAAAAAGTGTATGAACCCTGACCTTTACTTACTCTTATTTCATCTGTCATATGGAGCGAAATGCTCCCCCAGCTGAAGGGGAGCAATGATGCTGCACTAGCAGGCTGAAGTGGACACGTAACAGAGGAGTTCATTGAAGAAATGATTGGATTTTCATCGGCTTTATTTAGGCCAATACTGGTCCATAATATGTGCCAGGCTCGGCTGCGGACAACTCTGCCCTTTTATTCGAACTGGAGTCAGTATGCTGGAAAAGTATCTAGAATCCCTCTGCTCACAACAGTCATTCCTTTCCAGAGCTAACAGAAGTTTGTTTGCACACATAGGCCACTGTCCCCTGCTGGCAGACCCACAGTGAGGCGGCTCTATTCTGGCGCGCCAAAGGCAACGGCAGCCTTGCCCTGCAGTGCTTGCGCCAAGTGTTGAGCTCTGCCCCGCCCCCCCACCGCCACGTCCCCCTCACCAACGCCGCTAACCTGCTGCTACATCACGGCTTGACCACCCACTCGCAAACCCTGCTGGAGCAAGCCATGGCTATCAATGCATCGGAGGTAAAGGCTCATCGCTTCATTACCTTCTGGTTTTTACCATCTTGGAGTTGCACACTCATAGGGTGGTACATTTACTTTGCATTTGTTGCCACTATACAAAAAAAACATGCTGTTTCTTCAGATAGTCAGTCACATGGTTTGAGCATAGTATACAACTTTAACTGATATTTGTATGAATAAAACTTAGAAAACATCATTTTAGTGTTGTGTGATTTTTATCAGGATGGCCAAATAACCTTTAAAACTTGGTTACATCGCCAGGCAATCATGCAGAAAATGTAAAATCAGCAATGCATTTATACTCAGAGATTTATATTAAAGCCTTGTTGGATAATTCATTTTGGACTGTTCTAACGATCTATCTTTTTTATTTTAGTCTTTTTATGAGTAGAAGTATAAATTGTCCAAAATCATTACCTGCAATAAAATAAAATGAGTCCCCCTGAATAATAATAGAGCATCATTTGAATGCCATATTATGCCCAAACGTAGCAGACGCAGCACATTTTTCTTTTTGCCACTTAATTTACCCTTTGTTTCAGGCATCAAGCGTGAGCCATGTTTCAAAAGATATCATGTCAAGGTCATTCAAGTTTCATAAATATGAATGTAGTCTTCCTGTGGTTTGCAGATTCTCCACATATCAAACCAAAAGAGTACTGAAGTTACATTGTGTAAAAACTGGAACTGGTCAAGTGCAGTAGGTATCGGTAATATATTGATATAGGACTGTTGTTCAGATAATCTGCCTCCAAATGCTTTCCCAAAATCTTTTGAGCACCAACACGTGTGCTCAAGTGTGTTTTCTCGATGTTACCCAAAAGCTAATGTTCCCATGTCTGGTTTTGCTTCCATCGCAGCCCCACACCCTCATCAGCTTGGTGAGTGTTCAGTTGGCTCAGGGCAATGTGACCGGCGCTCTGGCCTTGTTCCGCCACATCCTGGTGACGGCCTTTTCCTCCTCCTCCTCTTCCTCCTCCTTCGCTGGCTGTGAGCAGTGTCGCGCCAGCCTTCCTCTGCTGCGCTGTCTGCAGTTCTACCCCTTCCTCTACAACCTCTCACATCGACAGCCCTGCTCACGTGAGTCAGTCAAACACACACAGATATTTTCCTCTTGATTATTGTACTTCTTTTTAAAGTATGTTGTTAGAGTAAGCAACTGCAGTGTTTCAAAACATCAGCATTTTTCTGTAATATGATTTAAGATATGAAGACACTGTTATGGAGAATACATTTTCACTTTGAGACATATTTTGAGATCTATTTTTGCGGTTTTTAAACGCCTAACAATTGCACTATAACAATGTCTTGAAGCCAGACAAGAAGCTGAAGCATTTTGAAGTTTATGATCACAATCCTTTTTGTTGGTAAATCTTGCCATACTGACAACATGCAAGAACATGCAATATACGTATATTTTAAAACTGTTTAGTCAGAATCAGAATACCTTTATCAGTCCCACAGAGAGGAAATGTACGTTGTTACAGCAGAAAAAGAGCCACAGACAGCTTAATGTTACATACATGCATTCAAAAGTATTAAAGTAAAAAAGAAGTTACACAATTTCCAAAATACACATCCTGTAACAGTTCTTAGGATTTAGCCACCAGGTATATATTGCACAGTTATTAACGGAATATATATATTGCACATATAGTACATATTGTTTAAATATAATATACCCCCCTCTAACTGATTTGGCAACTTGTAACATGTAAATCTATTATTTATATCTAAATATTGAGCATAGAAACAGGCCATGGGCTTGAATTGCACTTGCTTCACTAGTTTTTCAGTCATCTAAAGCTGCAAGAGACGCTGTGAGAAACAAGTAGCATGTTGCACTTGTGATGTGAAGAGACATTTTGCCACTCAACAATTTAGACAGCAGAAAATAGCTAATGCCAAATTTAGAAGGATCTATATTTTATCTCAAAAGCTAAATATGACTCCTTTATTGCTCGCTGACACACTCAACAAACTCCCACCTCAAGTTAGATCAAAGGTTTAAATATACAGAAAATACACACATTTCTCATGTTAAATATGTTGCTGTTCCTCCCACGTTTGATCCTGTTGCATTGCTACATTTAACCGCCATGCCTGAGTGGTTGTGATTGAATACGGCTAAAAGCTTCGGACCCCATTTACACGCATACGAAACGCAAACGAACCGAATACGATATCAAAACAGTCTTCCGTTTACACGAGACCGCTCGGAAGCGCTGGAGGTGCTGTAGTACATATGCCGGGCCTGTACATGGCGCTGTACTCCGGCCACAAAATACACCAAAAGCAGCGAAGAAGACCACGGAGCGTGGATGCCTGGTTGCCCTTCTGTTTATGCCCCGCGGTGGATTTAGCAACATGTAGTTCTCCATGTCCACTTGTTGCTGATGGTTGTGGTAGAGGAGCTGTAGATGTTGCACTAACATCTGTAGCTTGGTCAGTATCAGTATCAGTAGCTACTGACCATGCTACAGCAGTGAGCAGCAGAAGTGGGGAGAGGCGGGGCTATGGCTTAATTGTTATCAGGAAATGATCGTATAGGGCGTACACACGGAGCCGTTTGCCCCCCCAGAGAGTTCCGTTTGCAGATCTATCCACCTTGGGACCCGTTATCGCTTGCGGGCTCCGTTTCCGCGTTTCCGTTACGGCCTCGTGTGAACGAAAGGGCTATACGAAAGAGAAAAGTAGCAGATACAACCGTTTGCGTTCTCGTGTAAACAGCACCTCAGAGCCAACATTATGGTTATATCAATCCCTGTGGGTAAACTACTGAAAAACATACCAGTGCAACAAGGAGAGCCATTTAGGACTGCAAAAATAATGGCACTTATATATTTTATTAGTAAGTAAGAAATTGTAATTAATTGCATGTGTTTCAACATTACTATCTTCTCGCTTTTCCTTGTAAATGCATCTAATGTCTTCTGGCAATAATCAGAGTTTCCAAGTTTAATTTGCTAGCTTTGCTAGATTAAACTGAGGCAGTGAATGAAGTCACCAGAGTGTTGAGAAAAGGAAGCTGAAGGGACTGATTTGTTTGTTCCAAGAAAACAAACACGGTTGGTGTGTCTCGGAATATAAAATGCATCACTTTCTGTTGAGGGGAGAATTGTTCCAAAGGAAAACCAAACACGTAAATGATCTAGCATGTTTGAATCACTAAGCCGGTCATTGAGTAGTGTAAAAAGGCCAAACATGTTGACAAAAAGGTGAGTTTGTTCCTTTAATTCAAAGTAAACATCCAAACTGCCTTGCTTACTCGTCTGTAATAATGTTGTTAGTATTACCACATTATTCACCACATTAGAATTGTTGCAGTTTCAGAATATTTGATTTGTTCCAAACATTTCGTTGCACAAAATGCAACAAAAATATCTATTGATTTTCAGAAACACTGTTTGAGAATACGTTCAACAGTACTTTTTGCCACCTGTCTTTTATTCAAATGAACTTCCCTTGTGTTGCTGCAGAGGGCGCCGCCTGCTTGGCTGAAAAGGAGCTCGGCATTCAGCTGGAGGAGTGGGAGGGCAGCGAGGAGAAGCAGGATGCCCCCCCCCTCTCTGCCATGGAGGACTCCTTGCTCTTTGAGAGTAAGAATATGATTTACCGACACCTACAGTGGCAATATCAAACAGTTAAGACATACGGCATCCAAACTAAATGAACAGTCGTATTTACTTCTTCACACAATATGTTTCAATAATAATTATTAGATATTAGGCACAGGTTTTCAATCTCTGGGACTGTGGGCCTTGTCTCTCTCAAAGCTTTGAAGAAGTTAGTGTGATTGCTTAGTGCTTAAGGGATTATAAACAATTAAACAAAGATAAACAAGTTGATGTTGTAGATTATTTCCTATTACACCAAATTCATAAAAAAAACATTGGTCCTAAGGCCTTTATTAGTTTCTAAATACATACTTTCTGACTGGTTGAGTATGAAAAACAATAAATTCCCTAAAAGCCTTAATTCTAAATCTCTTTAACCAGATCCCACTCATTTAAGGCAAAGATAAGCGATCTGTTTTATCTATTGACTAGCCGTTACAAAATTTAATATCACATTCTCAGATGTCGGTTGGCTTCCTTTGCTGCATTCAAAACTAAATTGTAACTCTGAGAAATGTCACAAACCACATACACCCCCCCCCTCTCTCCTCAGAGGTGATCCTGGACAGTAACGGCTCGGGTGAAGCAGCCGGTCAGCAGAGGGATGCTCCCTCCGCCTCTGCAAACGCTAACATGGCCACTCCATTTGGTGGTGGAGCGGTGGAGGGGGAGGAGGAGTGGCAGCTGAAAGAGGACCTGATGGGGGCTTTTGAGGGAGCGCTTGATGTCGGGGGCAAACGGGGGGACCTGCGAGGGATCCGGGTGCTAAAGAACGACCGTGTCATGGGATCCCGTGCCGGTGGTGGGCCCTGCTTCGGGAACTGTGAGGATGACGAGGGAGCTGAGTGGGTAAGTGCACGTTCCTGTCATTTTGATCTGAGATGTGTTTGAGTCGCCACTAAAGTGTGTGGGACTGACTGAGGGGCCTAAGGGCTGGGCAATTAAGAGAAGTTCAAATGTTTCTATCGACATTTAGTAAGGGCATTTTATCAGATATTTGACCGATCTGCAAACTAAATCCTTACCAATCAATTTCTTCACTAATGTCTTTGTAAAGGTGTGTAGTAAGATGTATTAAAAAGTTGAAGTTCAAATCCTGTATGTTTTTTTGTAACAACTGCTCAAAGTTGAGGTATCGAATACCGATTTTCTAAAAATCTAAAATGTTCAGTTTGGCCTTGGGTAACTTGTGAGGGGTCAAACTAGGGGTTTTTCATGATTCTGAGTTGATTGCAATCATTTATTTTTCACTAAAATCATTCCTTTGTGGAAAAACGGCCACGCCCACCTTTCCCGCTCGCCCACCCCCCCATAATGCCTTTCCACTGCTAGCATAAAAATTGTTTGATTATTTTACTATTTGCCCTTTTAGGACTTATTATTGTTTAGTGGTAGCTGCTAGTTGGTTGGCATTCAGAGTGAGGATGTTTAGAGTTAACATGCTGAAGCCATTTTCAACCTTCATTTGATCATGGACAGACTGCTTTTTACGCCTGATATGTAAGTATTATCTACATTTTTAACTTGAAATATTTCATGTCACTACTTTGGTAATGAAATGTAACATACTGTACAAGTTGTCAACTTTTCTTACTTGTTAGCTGTGTAACAGTAGGCGCAATAACATGGTTAGCTAGCTAACGTTAAATCCATGATGTATTACTCCATGATTAGTTGTCAACTTTGCTTACTTGTTAGCTGTGTAACAGTAGGCGAAGCAACATGGTTAGCTAGCTAACATTAAATCCATGATGTATTACTCCATGATTGTATCCAACTAGTCAACTATCATGATGTATTACACACCTCAAACTGAATCTCATGATCATTTTATTTCTTGAATGCTAGCTTTCTGGCCCATTAGTGTGCCAGTGGTGTCTTGTCCTGACAGGGATCTTTGTGTGTTTAACGTTACTGTTGAAGCAAGATCTTCTATTTTCCTTGCAATATATCTATTACAATGTTAAATCATCTACTGTACATGAAGATTGTCTTTAAATGTCACAAAATAAGATAGTTATGACATGATAAACAATGTTTAATTTATACTTGTAAGGACATATATAGTCTAGCAGTATGGATGAAGACTCGACTCCACTTTGCTAAATGTTTCATCTTTGAAAGCCGGAGACACCAGCTTCAGAGGCTGATACAGCCAAACTCCTAAAGGCTAACCCTATCCTTTTTGGAACAAGCACAAAGTAGTGGAAAATGCCTAAGATTTGGGAGCGTTTGAAGGAGGCTCAGAACATAGAAGACTCAGGTACCACAAAAAGTGCTAAAGATGATTTTATAACAACACGGTTTCTTGAAGTTCCCAAGAACCTCAGGGCCAAACATTAAAGGGCAGAGAAAGAGGCAGCTAAGAAGAAGAGAGACGCACTGCTCTTGAACCTTCGCAGTGGCAGCTTCTGCATGCAGTGTTGTACAAGTTCACGGTCCGTTTCAGCTTCGTGTACAAGAATGTATGCATTCTTTGCCAACCAACCCTGCACAAGATCTACAAAACTCGTCCAGAGGAAGCTAGAAAAGAGGACACAGAGTGCCAGATTAATTTGAACTGCAGATAGACTGAAGGCAAGCTTGCGGACAGACAGCACAGAGTCGCGAGGGAATGACCTGGGGGGCACTGAAGTTGTTGGAACCGTCTGAGGGGGTCAATGACCTTGTGGGCAGAAGAAACCCTGTTCCATTGCGCTGCAAAACTCTTTTTGAGACAGGTGGGCCATTACTCCAAGACTGGAAGGATAGAGGACAAAGGAAAGAGAGGAACAACGAAAATTGAATGAGGAAACGAGAGGCTGTTTTTGTTTAATTTCTGTGAATTGTTTAGATCCAGAAACTCGAACATGGCCGTTGACCAACGTCCACGAAAAGCTAACAGCAGTTTGATCCGTCACCAGATAAGAGCTCTTACTTATCCAAAGTATTGGCTAGAAGAACATCCAAGATAAAATTCCATGACACCTGTATTCTCACATCACAGGAAGAGAAGGCCAGATGTGCTCCGCCTCAAAGATGCACACAGACAACTTCTGCCGAGAGCATCATGCTAATCCTTGAGCATGGCAGATGAGAAAGACTCAGATCATTAAGACTGCACACTGAAGTTCGTATGCAACGATCGGCCATGGTCGAATCTAGACCCAAAGTCATTACCCCACAGCACACCAGTATGAACTGACCATCCAGAAGCAGCTGGGCCTCTTGTTCACTTGAGAGTCTTCGATGTTTCCTGAGGCCAAATAGTGGAAGACCCGACAAAGAGTAGTAGCCATTTGGGGGGGAAAACCCTTCAAAAAGGCCCTGTCGGCCTCGATCCAGGAAGTTTTGCCAATACCAGATGGGGCTTGCCATAACCACTTTGATCATAACGATTTGGTCAAAATGGGATGCTGAACAAGTTACACCCTGATACA